GCGGTGGCTGCAGTGTCTCTCCCTCCTTCTTCCTGTTTCCCCAATTCTCCTCTCTCCTTATCCCACCTATACTTCCTGTCTGGTCACTGGCCATCAGTGTTTTATTTATATAGAATGATATCCACAGCAGGCTTTAGCTACAAACTATAACCCATATATAGTTACTTAATTTGTGAGAGGGTCTTGCCATTATATAACTCAGGCTGGCCTGGAACTTACTATGTAGCTCAGGCTGGCCTCAAACTTGTGGTCCTCTTACCCTAGCCTCCCAAGTGCTGGTATTAAAGGTGTGACTCATCATGCCTGGCTCTAAACTTTCAATTTAAAGAGTATTATAATTAAATTCTCTCTCTTTCTCTAAAAGGATGGGCCATTGAATTTATGTTTACTTACTTCCTTTTTTTGTGGGTGTATACGTATATGTGCAGGTGTGCCCTGATATGTCAGAGGTCAGAGAACAACTTGCAGGAGTTCTTTTCTTCTACCACATGAGTCTAGGAATTGAACTTTGTTTGTCAGCCTTAACATAAAGCGTCTCTATCCACTCAGCCATCCCAATGGCTACAAGAATATTATGAATCTACTTTCTCTTAGGAACAAAAAAGCATGAAAGCAGGAGGAAGCCTCAGGAAGTTGGGATTTGGTAGGATGGAGAATGGAATGAGAATATTGGGGGATAGAATGTGGCAAAGATACTGTGTTTATGAATGAAATTGTAAAAGGATAAGAAATTTACAATTTTTTAAAAAAGGAAGTTACTATGACACCATAAATGGGAAGGAGACAACAAGTGAACTGTAGCCATGACAAACTTTTAGCATATTTTGGACATGGACTTACTTAATGTGGTGTTGTGTTACCATCAAACAAAACTGACTGGAGATACAGCTAAGAAAGCAGATAAGCTAAGCCAAGCACCTGCTTACCATGTGCTTACCAGGTCCTAGGTTCAGTCCCAATACCATAAAATTTTTTTTTAAAGTATATTTACATACTAAACATACATATGTACACACACACACACACTTAACAAAAAACAAACAAACAAGCAAGTGAACAAAAAAAGAAACTGGAGAGATGGCTCAGCAGTTAAGAGCACTTCCTGCTTTTCCAGAGGACCACTTCAGTCCCAGCAAGCATATACTTTGGATTGGGTAGTAGACAGCTAATAAATGCCAGGAACTCCAGCTCCAGGGGATCTGAAAACCTCCTCTGGCCTCCATGGGCACCTATAAAAACATGGCATACACTCACGCAAACAAATGCATAGACACATTTAAAAATTCTTTCTAAAAGGGAAGAAACTGATCAATTGCTCTGAGGATATAGCTTGGTAGTAGGGCATTTGCTTCCCTGGCATGTGCAAGGACCCCAGGTTCAACCTTTAATACTGCAAATTAATTATTTAAGGAAGGGATCAAACAATCTGCATGCTATGTTTTCTTGTTTGTTGTTTGTTTTGAGTCAGGGTCTCTCTGTATAACCATGACTAGCCTGGAACTCATTATATAGGTCAGGCTGGCCTCTGCCTCCTGAGTACTGGGAGTAAAGGCATGAGCCACCTGTTCTGGAAGCTAGCAAAGAAGGCTTAGCAGGGAAGCCCTATATTCTATCACATGAAATAAATGGAGCTTTTCCTTCTCCCTTAGAACTCCTTTCTGAGTCTGCATGGTTCTTCGAAAATTCAAGCTTTAAATCTGTCATTGCATTGTCTGATTTCCTGAGTACAGATAGCACGGATTTAAGAGATTAAGAGGCAAGAGAGTGCTGAAGTAGCAGTAGGTGGCTCTGGTGAGGCACCCCACAGCTTTTATAAAGGACTCCTGGCACAGATAAATAGATGTGACGCCTCCTATTCCTTCCCTCTACTGATACTTTCTGTAAGTACATGTAATCATCACCTTTTTCTCTTGGTATACACATACAAGGTTGCTTATTTTCTTTTTGGCCTAACTGATCAGTGACCAGGTAGTCTGTCATCATGTTAATAGCTGACTGGTATCCCCTGCTGTGGCACTATCATAATTTTTTTTTTTTTTTTT